AACCAGCAAGAAATGTCAATACAAAAAAAAAAAAAAAAAAAAAAAAAACACCGCACCAGAGAGGAATGAAGGAAACCTTGAGCTTTTTCATTGGAGACTTTTGGCTCAACACACACACACAAACCCATCTCTGCTAATTTATTATTATTAATAGTTTTTTTTTTTAAAAAAAAAAAGCACCTGTTGGAAAAACAAAACAAAACAAAACAATAAAAAAAACCCCCAAACATCAGGCCACCCATCCTGTCACAAGCTCTGGGACTCTTGCAAAATCCAGAGTCTGGAGCTGCATTATGTAAAAGAATTTTCAAGTTTGACGTTAGCCCAAATACAGTATACATACACTTCCTCCACCCCATGCGGCGGCAGCGTACCGGGAAAAAACCAACCCCCCGCAAGTACCAAAAAAAGCTACAGGAATATGCACTCCTCACAACAACGAGCAATCATAACTTTGGTGGTTATACATAAATATTGAAGGGTGGATGGATACAGTGCACTAACGCTGACGATTCAATACCAGCACCAGCTTCTGAAAGCACCTCAGGTCTGTGGATAAGGTAGTCTTGTGTGTCACCAGAGTGAATTAGCACCTTTCTTTCCTGTGGTGGTGCACAGGGTTGATGCAGAACTGAAAAGATGGATGCAAAACTAGGAAACGGCATTGCAGAGAGCAGCTGGGTGAGGAACACTCTCGAGGGAGGGAGAAAAGCCCACCCGGACAGAACGGTCTGGACAGGCTACTTGAGGCAGCAGGGAGACCTCAATTCACTTAATTAATCTTTTCCAGACTCTTTTTAGTGCATTTCTTTTGTCTGCATTAACCAGAGACTGTCCATCTCGGCTGTCGCCTTGGACTGACCAAGATGTATGCGACAACCAGAGGGGGGTGACTTGCAGCCCCCGTTCTCAGAAGCGCTCCCGACTTGGGGGTCTGGCCGTAAGCACCAGAGCCACACAGATGGGGTGGCTCGGCGTCAAGGACTGCTTGCGAAGTGGAGCTCTGGCTGCCCCTGCCAGGCTGCAGGGACACCCCCCCCATCCCCATCTTGTTCCTGCTGGTGGGAAACTCTTCACAGGATTTTCAAACACTCGCAGCGGCGGGGGCCAGGCAGTCGGCCCCTGCAGCACGCCACGTACGTCCTGCCGAGCCCTCCATCCCCGCTGGCACGGGAAGCATCCAGATGCTCTCTACCAGACTCACGATATTTTTCCTGCCAGTTTAGTTTGTCCAACCACATTCAACAATGCAATTATTTGCCTTTGCCCAGAGCTCCTCCTCATTTACGGAAGGACACCTTAACCCCTGGACTTGCTGGAGCTCTGGAAAAGCCCTTCCAGCTCCAGGCTTTGGCGGGCGCGCGTACGTTCAGCATACCGCAGCGTGAAAACCCTCGGTTCCCCACAGCAGCCTGCGGTCCCGGGGCCTGGCTGCTTCGTGATGTGAGGTTAGCAACCTGAACTGCCCCTGCGCCCAGAGGTGACCTTTTCTGTTTGGCAGAGGAGCCCAAAAGGACGAGAGGACATGGAGAGGACAGAGAAAGACAGAGCACAGCCGGTGTAGGTATGGGATGGTTTCTGCAGCACCAGCATGACAACGCGGAAGCAAAGGAGGAACAAGAGCTGTTGGGAAATGCACTACACCACACCGTGCCATAGCTCCTTCCAAAGCTGCCCCCAGACCCCTCGCACTTTTCCTGGGCTGTGGGGTGGTGTAGGGCCTGTGCCCATGAAGGACAGGCAGCTTCCCCATGGTACTGCCCTTGCCAGCTCGGACTGACAATGTCTTGCTTAAAGGAGACGGGCAAGAGTTGAGCAGAGGGAGGGAGGCCCTGCTAACAAGGTTTGAACCTTTGGCAAAGCTTTCACGAGCTCTTTGGCGGTGTGGCTTGGCTTTGACTCAAGCACCCCGTGAAGCGGAGTCTCCCTGCACGGCCAAGGTGAGTGCTGAGCCCAGAGGGACATTTCCCATCGGTTGTACGGCGCAGTGGGGGAGGTGGTGGCAGGGGGTGCAGCGAGAGAAGAGGCAGTTGTTTCCAGGTGTGGATGGCAAGGCTAAGGACTGTACTGTCGGTTGGGTGGGTGGATCTTGTGGATGTTAGTAGAGCTGGAGCTGGAGCTTCATCCTCAGTGCTTGGCCCAGCTCCCCTGCTAAGTAGTTGAGGTGGTTCTTGGCCTCTAGTTTCTGCAGTTCCCTCTTGCGGTACAGGGGCACGCTCACGATTTCCAGCAGGTAGGTGCCAGGCATTATTTTCTTGCGGCCGAGGTGCAGGTAGCTGAGCCCCTCTTTTTGGTGGATGCGGAAGTAGCCATCCTCATTCCCGTGGGAGATTAGGTACCGCACACGGTTCTCCAGGGGCTCCACAGCTGGCAGGAGCTCCAGGATGTGCTCCTTGTGAGCCAGGTCAGAGAGGTTCAGCATCATGGACAGAGGAGCATCCACATCCATGCTGGCCAAGTTCACAGTGTGATCCTTTGAAAGGAACCAGGCATTACTTACAGATAGCAAGAAAAGCTCATGGCCAGGTGAAGGAGGACTTGTTTCAGAGGAGTTCTGCCCCATGGGCCACCCCAAAGCAGCTCTGAGCAGTGGCTATGACTTTTACGGTCCTTGCTTTCCTTCAAGTGTTTCTTGGTACCCTGTTTGTGTCTCTGAGGCTGAACCAGCCAGTACACACCCCTCATCTTCAGGGGAAGATCTTCCTCCTAATCCTGAAGGACCCATAATGACCTCCCAGTCCAATCTGTCCTGCCCAGGCCTGTGAGCTTCTTGGGGGAGCCTTGGACAGAGGCCAGAAGTTCCCTCCAAGGAAGAACTTGTATTTACAGTGACAGGTCCAGTCTGGAGTCAGACAGTAAGAGCTGACAGTCCTCTATGGCCCTAAGGAAACATGTGTTTATTTCTTGGTTGCATGTATCTCCAGACATTTGTGGCCAAACCACACAAGTGTGTGTCACTTAAGATTGTCCTGACCTCCTGTAATGTATTGCAAAAGACTTTCCATTTCTCCAGGACTTCTGGACTCAGCGGCACCCACAACCACACAAGCACCCAGCCTGGGCAGGTGAGCTGCTCGCTCTGTCTGGACTGAGGCAGCCCCAGGAATGGGCACACTGCATGGGATCCACTGCAGGCAGCTATCCCCCAAGGGACCCGGCTCTTGCCTTGCTCCACCCCATCCAGGATGCCACAGATTTCTTACCTGGTGCTTCTCAGTGCCATTGACACTGCGTCGCTGCCGACCCCTCTTGGGGTAGCCATTTATCTTGCACTCATAGCAGGTTTCAGGGGAGAGCAGGTTGTCTTCATCCTCTTCTTGGGGGGCAGGAAGGTAGGAACCTTTCCCAAAGCCCAAGCCAGAAATACAGTGTCTGGTGGCAGAAGAGCAAAGAGACCCTTCTCAGATTCACGCTTCAAGAAGGAAGTCTTACCAGTGCCCTCACAGGTTCTCCATGTGGCACCCAGAAACACATGGAGGATCATGCTTGGGTATAGGACATGGCTTGTACAGAACGGCTTGTACACAGGACATGCCTGAGAGAGATCAGGCCACATCTTCCTCAGAAGTGGCCAGTAGGTTTAATCTGTCTGCACCCTGGACTAGACGGATCTGCAGAGCACCTGCTACAGCGTTAGTAGCCGTCCTAACCACTGGATTAGTGAAATGGAAGAGGAGATGCACATTAGCATGAGGATCTTGTGATAGGTGAGGCACAGTCTGGCATGGAGAAGCTGAAGACTCATGTGGGAATGGGAACTTACTGGCTCCTAGGGCTCCTTCAAATTGTATTGGTGGCAGAGAGCAGATGGAGCATGTCTAGGGGCACCATGCACTTGGCAGCCTGCAGTATCCCCCAGGAACATACGGGTGCCTGTGGGGACTACCTGCTGGCTGCTCTCTTACCCTTGTCCTGCTCGGAAGTAGCCACCAGGACAGCCGCAGAGGTAGCCTCCGTCTGTGTTGGAGCAGCCGTAACTGCAGGGGCTGCCGCCTGCTGAGCATTCATCCACATCCTGGCACCCACCAAAGGCTTGGTCAAAATCAAAGCCAGATGGGCAGACACACTTGAAACTTCCCAGAGTGTTGTAGCAGGAGGCAGAGCCGCAGGCAGTAGGGCTGGAGCACTCGTTTTCATCTGCACCCAAAGACAGCAGAACTAGTTAGAAACTTTGCGGAAGGGAGCTCCTCACCCCGCGTGGCCAAGAAAATCTGCCCATGGCCATCGCTGAGCGGGCAGCAGGTTCCCTTCTCCTGGCTGCCTGTGAGACCTCATGCCATCCAGATCCCTGAGGGAATGCCTTGATTTTTTTTTTATCCTCCTACAACGCAGGGAGCTGTTGGCGTCAGGAGCACTGGGAGCTCATCACTCTGCAGAGCAGCTTCCTGACCTTCCCTGTTGCAGAGAGAACCTGGGGCAGTGCAGGTCAGGGCAGGGGCACCGTCTCTGGGCACAGGCACGGTCTGTCCCTGGGCAGGGCAGGAAGATCAGCGTTGGGTTAGCAGAGATGAATCCAGAACCCAGGATCAGAGATGGCCAGGGGTGGCTTAGCTGCCCTCTACCCCCGACCCCACAGCTACAGGACACAAGAGCCCCCATCCCACACTCACCCACACACTGATTCCACTGGTAGTGCTGCACGTAGCCCTGTGGACAGCCGCAGCGGTAGCCTCCGAGCACGTTCTGGCAGCCATGCTGGCACCGATGGTTTCCATCACACTCATCCACATCTGCAGCAATGTAACACAGATGGTGGTGAGACAACTTCTTCCTGTCTTATGGGCAGCGCTGGATGCACAGGGACCATGGTACATGCCTGGCAGCCAGCATCCTTGAGGGTGCTCATCTGGGTGGGTGGTTCTTCTGCCTAATTATGTCTCTGCAGCTTGGAATTGAATAACACCCTCAGCCCCAAGGCCCGCATACATCCCCTTGCAGCCCCTGTTTCAATATTTTTTGATTTAAGGTCTGGCCTGGGCAGTTACCAGATCTGTTCTGCTCCAGGCTGCCCGTGCTGAACATAGGCTTTTCTTTAGCATGGTGGGTTTTGGCTGGCACGAGATCTCCCCTGATGAGATACAGGACCATTCCTTTCCCAGCCTTGGCTGCTACGGTTGCAGCACTGAGACCTTCATCTGCTTGTCCAGAAGCCAGTGTTTCTCCAGGCAGGTCAGGCACTGACCTCTCCTTTGCACCCGGGCTTCCCGTGGGGGTTTCTGGTGCCCCACAGTCCCTTCTTGGCTGGACTGAGCTGCCTTAGAGACTGTGAGTGAACTAGGAACTCTTCCGCATGGAACATGGTCTGTCAAAGCCCCAGAGACACAGACCCACCTTCGCAGTTGACACCAGAGCTGTCCAGGGAGAATCCTTTCTGGCACTCGCAGTTGTAGCTGCCTGGCGTGTTCAGACACTGTCCTTTGGCTCCACACAGAGAGGGCTGAGCTGTGCACTCATTATTGTCTGCAAAAAACACCGGCGGCCACTTGTAAGTCCATCCCCAACGATGCGGCTGTGCGCAGCTTTGCATCGTGGAGCTTAGCCCAGTCTGAGGAGCAGACACACAAGTCAGATGCACAACCCCAGGCCCAGGAGAGGGGCAGTGCTCTAGAGCTCTAGAGCTCTAGAGCCAGAGCTGGGGGGCTGGAAAGACTCTCCCGGGCTTAAAGCTAAACCAAGGGGACCTTGCTGGTGCTGTATAGCAAAGCGGTGAATGCCTCTACTCACCAATGCAGGACGAGTGGTGCTGAGTGAAGCCTGGGGGGCATTTGCAGTTGAATCCTCCGATAATGTTCACACAGAGGAACTGGCAGTTATGCTGCTTGGTGGAACACTCATCCAAGTCTAAAGCAACAAGCACAAGAACATGTGTCTCAATTTATCTTACTGAGATATTTTATCTTTGTGGTCTGAGTCTGTGACACCTGCGTGGACATGGTGATACACAGTGGTCCTGGGCAGACCAGGACAGACCAGACATGCCAGGGCATGGACCAGCCTCAGGAACACCACACAAAATTCTTACATGAGAATAAGAAGCCCAGGGAGCCTCTCCCCACCTTGCCTGTTGATCATATACAGACACATTTGGAAGATGCAGAGATAAAAATCTCTGCCTCTCCTGTAATCCACAAATCCCAGACCTTCCCAAATTCTTAGGCCACCCTCCTCGCAGCCTGGCACATCAGTACTGTGAGAGGTGGGCAAAGGCCCAGCCTGGCAGCTGCCAGCACCAGGAGCAGCCCTGACAGTGACTCTGACGTGAGCAGCCCGCTTGCAGGAGACACGCGGGTTCAAGGCTTGGGGTATGCTGTGCAGTCTGGAGGAAAGGACAAGGAGTATTCATTTTTTTTCCTGATGAGGCAGGTCTGGAGTGCCTGTGGAAGGATGAAACTCTAATGCATCACTCCATGAGGGTCCAGCATGGCACCTTTTTCCATGTCTAGCCCTTCTTCTGTGGCTGAACAGAAAGACGCGACTGTTCTGGCACGTGCTAATGAGCTCTTGCTATCCCTGCTGCTGCCAGAGATGAGGCAGGGTCTCTGCTGCCTTCTCCCGGGTCAATACCTTTGCAGATCTTTCCATCTTCTTGCAGAATGTACCCGCGGGGGCAGGAGCACTGGTAGCTGCCTTCTGTGTTCTTGCAGATGAAGTTACACGGCTTAGGGGACTGGTTGCACTCATCCAAATCTAGACTCAAAAGACAAGACACATCAGCATTCGCAGGTTGTGCTGCTGGACTGGGTCCCCACCACGCCTTGGGCTATACAGTCTACCAAGGGGCTCCTGAATACAAGATGATCCCTGGTTTCATGGCCCCACATAACTAAGTGGTCAGGTGGCCCTATGGATCCTGGCACGCCCCGCCCCACATAAATGCATCTTTTCTGCTCTCCAGGAAGCAGGAGAGCGGAGACAGGGGCTTTGAGGGAGCACTTTGGTTTGAGCCAGCACAAGAAATCTAGATCTCCTGCAGGGA